GTCATGGACCAATCTAACGTTTCAAATAAAGAACCGATGATGATGAACCGATTTTATGCGTTTTTTTTAAAAAAAAAGTTATCAAGCTCTTAAAAAATCACCCGTTATAAGTTTGAACTTGAGATCTATAAATCTGAGATAAGGAAAGCTAAGTGCACTTCTGCGAAAACGTGGAGGGTAGCCACGAATTCCGAATTCTATCTAGGAATTCCACTCTTCTATGGGTATCTAAAGTATGCACGGAGAAAGTGGGCGATGTGCATTGTGGAGTTATTCAATATACTTCTTAATGCTCATATCCCGAGCAGAGCCGTAACCGCTTGAAATCAGCAGGTCATATAGGTAGAAATTTAAAAAAATCTGAATGAACATCGCCTGCTTTAAATGATCAGCCTGCATATATGTGGTTCCATTGGCGGTCTCCTGTGTATGCGAGCACCTTAAGTAAGAGCTACATATATTCCGAATACCTGAAGGATGGTTAAGTTTACTTCATATGGCTGGCATAGCCCCGTATTGCCTAAGGACTTCAGGCGGGGCGAGCGAAGACTGCCTCGTTTTTCTTTAAAACGTTTGAACTAATTTAACTACATCTAAGAAGCGAGAAGCGTTTGTCATCAAATCAACATACCTATTGCAAAGGTATATTTGTAGAATCAGCTCTAAAGACAGTTGTTAAGATGAGTGAAGAAAAAATAGGCAACCGTAAACTCGCTAAATAAGCTCAATGGCTGAATCAACTATGCCAACTTAGCCAGAGGAAATTACGTAGTTGTACCTTACAAATTTGAGCTATTTTACCGCTAGTTTGGCTTGTTTTCATCTACGATCTGCTGCAGATTTTAGAGAATCGCTGTTGACGGGTACTAGAGACACGAATTTCGATACGATAAGATACCATATCGATACTTTTGACATTCGATACCGATGTTTTCTACTCCATAGTTTTAAAAAGATATTATTTAGAATCGAGTACCAGAACCCTAGTATCGTATCGAATGTCATAAACTCACATTACAAGGATAATGTTATTAACAATTATTCCCGATATTAATTCGGCTTTAAAGAGTAGAAATTTGTACTATAGATTGCATGTGGTGGGATTTGAACACATTCGGTGTTTTAAGTCAACACCTCAATCTCTACGTGATGTAATAATAATAGAAGATCGGCGCTTACACCATTTGTTAGTGTTTGGCCGAGCTTCTCTTTCGATTTGTCGCTTTAATGTTGTGGCACAAAGGGGTGTAGCTACAGTTTTATGTCGACTCTGAACGGCGATTGTATTTTTATGGGAAGCTGTTTTTCATTTTCAAGGTTTGCGCACTTCTAACACCTACCTAGTAAAGTCAATTCGCGTACGCTGAATTTAGTGGTAGTCATTTTTCTAGGTTAAACCATTTAATCGAGTAATATCGGGTGGGACCGGTTCTTGAGCGAAATTTTAAGATTTTCGATGGACCTGAAAATTCGTTTTCGAGGATCGTTTGCTGCGAGGAATACGAATTTGACATTATTTTTGCGATGCGACAAATATTTAGTACAGCTTTAATACAAAAAACATCCAAAAATTACCAAAAACGCACAATCAGAGAAAAAAAAATTATCACTATTAAAAGATTTCGCAATTTTGAGCAAAAACTCCAAAATTTTGTATGATTATTACACCTATAACAAATTGAAATTACTTCAAATTTGTTTGGATAGTACAATGAAGAAGCTTTTCCCCGAAAAAAATTTGCTTCCGTACTGTTTTTGCTCAAAAATTCTTTTAACATATTGCACCAAGAAGTTTCTTCAATTGTTCAGGAAAAGTACTGGAAAGTTCAGGTCTCAATATTTATTTAGCGCAGTTGAAGACCACTCTTTTTTTTCAAATAAGCACATTTGAAACTTCATTAAGGCATTAAAATCCAAGCTGTTTTCTTAAAATATTTTTCCGGAGCCCTAGCTGATTTTTTTTTTTAATTATTTGGAAAATATGACAGAATCAGCTCGGTTTATTTTTACTAGGCCCTGCGGAGTGGAAGCGCGGACTGCTTACCACTTGTTTTAATTAAATAAAAAAAAGTGTTCGCAGAAATTAAAATTTCTAAGGGTACTGTTGTTTATTAAAAAGCTGCACAAGTTGTTGATTGAGCACGAAACAAAGAACGTCTATTTAAAAAAAAAAAACAGAAACACAAAACCAAACAACAAAACATCCGGCGATGCATAAAGCACCTGCTCCACATTTCAACTCACACCAAATATTCACCACAACATCGAAACACTTTTATACACCAAAAAGAATACCGTACTCTAATTCACTTGTCTTTCCAATTGTTCATACGTTGTGTACACTGCCCACTATGCTCGACCAGCCCTCACGTACGTACATACATATATAACTAGGTATGTACATATGTATGTACCAACTCACCTCAATGGTTCGCTCAAAATACTCGAACGCCAACGAAGTGGTCTTCGCAGCCGCCAAGCTGTCAACACTTTGTCCATTGATCTCGTTCAATTGTTTGCTGACACTATCCAGACTGCGATTGATATCGCCCAGATCCGTTTTGAATTGTTCCAGCTTGCCGAGTCGCTCCAGATGCGACATTCTCTCACTGTTGCTCGCCTCGAAATGAATGCGCAAATTCTCCAGCAACTTGAGAATGCGATCGGTGTCGATTTCGCGTGCACCCGGCGGTTCCAGTGCACGCACTCGATCGATCAGCAGCTCGGATTGTGTGATTAACGATCTAAATTTATCCATGCAAGCATCACGGAATTTCTCGTGTTCGATTATGGTGCGTTCAATGTCCGCCACCTCACCGCCGCCACCAAATTGTTGCTGTTGCTGTTGCAGTTGCAGTTGCTGCTGCTGTTGTTTGGCGAAAAAGTCATCGATGTTGCGGCGCAGTTCGCTGATCTCTGTCAAGAATTTCAGGATATTCTCCAGCAACGTTTTATAATCGTAGCGTATGCCTTCCAATTTGGATTTCAATGAACGCAAATTACTAATGACCTGTTCGATTTTCTGCAATGATTCGGAATTCTTCGTTTGTATGCCGAGCGTGGTATGTATGCGATGTTGTAGCTCATCTTGTGCCTTGTCGATGTCCTGCAGGACATGCATCAGCTTTTCGTTGGTGATTGCATGCAGTTGGCGCGCATCAACGGATGATGAAGTGAAAACCGGATACAGTTGTGTATCCACTTGGGTTGTCTTCGTGGCAGTCTGCGGAGAAATGTGATGCAAAAAAAATTATGGAAAATGAGTAATTTGTATGGGAACAAATATGTTAAATGGTCAAACAACAACAAAATTCACAGCTTATTGAATTTATTTTAAATTTTTATATACCACTCACCTCCTCATTGTCACTCATGATTTTCTCCAGTATGATTTCAACTTCACGTTTCTCCGCAATTTGCGTAGTCCAATTGTCTAGACTGGTTGTTACATCGACTTGACGCTTACTGAAACCGTTGAGGATATCTTCGACTGCCTGCACTGAGGATTTCGTCTCGAGATACGGATCCACAATCTACATATACATATGAAAGTGCGAGTGCCAGTATGTGTGAGCATGGTTCGGCGGGCGTGTAACGTATGGAAGGTTGTATGCGTGTGGACCCAACGTCGAACGGAGAGATACATCGTTTTGTGTTGAAATGACAGAAATAGAAGAAATGTTGCTGTTAAAGATTTTCGCTTATTTTCCTTTTTTAATACTTCTATTTATACATACAAACAACAGTATATAAACATATACACACATTAGGGTGCATCACAACAAAAAGTTTGTATTATATTTTAAGACCTCCGCCCAAATATTTCGGAAATACATTAAGGTGAGCTAGATCGATTTGAAAACACCTACAAAAATTTTATTTTTTTAATTCCGTTGATATAATTTTTAAACATCTTTATGCAGACCTTTTGAGCTTAAACTCTTTTAGCATCTGAGATGATTTGTTATAAAAACTCTTGCTAAAAACTAATTTTATTATTCAAAAATCGATTTTTGGAGGTATTTTCATAATGGGTCCAGCTCACGTAAATTTGATATTTTTTCTAAATATTTTGGCGAAATTCATATGGACTTATTCATAAAAAAATTAAAATAGGTACAATTTTTCGATTTATAAAGCAGTTGAAGTCTTCTTTATTTTTTATGAATTTGGTTGCCAAAATATAATATATTTTATATTTCCGATGAAAAAACTGTACCAGTTTTTTTTTGTTTATAAGGAGTAATGCACCCTAATATACATATAAATGTATTATAAGTATATTTTGCTACTAATTTTGTTTTTCTTTTCCCTGTACTTTTATATGTTTATAAATACAATGTATACATATGTATTTCTGTTAAAAGTTAGCTATTTGTTGTTGTGCTTTTAAGTGGTATAGCCATGCGTGTTCTCAAAACGCCGAAGACGCGTGCCGCTTCTAAATAAAATCTCCGAAATCAAAGCAAAAGGGAAACTGCACCTTTAGCTGCTCAGCTGGGAGTGATGGGGCTGTGGTGGCACATACATGGATTTATACTTACAAATACAACAAGCATTAATCGGCAGATGCATATGAATACTCGATTAGCTTTCATAGGGTCATAATTTATTACAGTGATAAAAATGGTGTATTCATTATTTTTATGGACCAAGCAATTTGTTATTTCTTTTTTTTTGTTAATTTTTTATGCAGTGCGGATAGGCAGAGTTAATTGATAGTTTAGATTTGTATTTTATGTTTATAGAAAGAAAAATTTTTGTTTGTTGCAATAAGAAATTTCTCTATTGAGGTGAATTAATACGAATCTAGTGGGACCGACAAGAGAGTGGCTGGCATATCCGAATCCTATCCATTAAAATTCAAACCACAGCACCAAATACTATAATTGAAGTGAGTTTAAGTTACATAATAGCTTGGACCCTCCATTATTAAGTAAAACCAAACAAATAATAAAAAATTTGAATAGATTCCGAACAGCGACCAGTGAAAAGCGATATCACAAACAACTAGCTAGTGGTCAGATAAAGATGAGGTTAATTTATCTATCCCATATATGGATTGTATGCGATACGAACTAGAACCTGAACGGGATGCAGACTGTATATCTAATCCTGCCGAAAAAAATCCAAAAGCAATTGTTCCCCTTAGGACCGGCTCACAGTCGCGCGTCTGGCCCATACTTGGCCGTTCTACCGAGTAGAAAGTAGTAAATATAAAATGCAAGAGCAGTTCACTCTATCCACGGTTTGATGAATGAGGAACCTGGAGCTTCCAATGGCTCTAAGAGCCAAACTTTAGGCTTCCCACAAGTATAATAACGGCACACTAGGAAGCTGCAGAAGTGGAAGAGAGATAGAATCCGGACAACACTTTCATTGCAATGGCTTCGAACTCCGGAAAAAGCACCTAAAATTTCTGGAAACCACTTTTTGGAGAGCTTAGGTTAAACTCAATTTGAAGGTCTGCTGGGATTCGCTAGAAAATCAGTATGGTAGTAGTAATAGTAGTAATCCCAGTGAACTCTGTTTCACAGCTACTGGCACAGTCTGACCTAACCTTTATGCTATTCATGGCTACAATTTTTATGAATAGGTTTTCGATTTAAGCAAAAAAACAGGACGATCGCATAAGGATTTTCTATCCTGCCGATTGCTTTGGGAGAGTTAGGGGAGATTTTGCAGACTAAAATTATTTCAGACCAATAAAAGAGGAACTTCCACAATATTTGGAAGTTATTAAGCTTTGATGTTTTATTGAGACCAGTCCGGTTTGATTGTTAGCTTACTTAGCTTTAAATTTTTGTACTGAAATGAACTGCCGAATAAAAGGCGTGTATCCACTGGAAAATCGGGTCCTAGAGTAAATACTATTTCAAAATTGTATGCTCCATAATATAAAATTATTCAATTTAGAAATTATATAGCATACTCAGAAGCTGTTAGTAGAAGAACCTTATTGTTTACATATTTAGATTAAAGCTTACCTTTATTTATACCTACACTCCAGAAACAAATCTTGTTACCAGTTGCAATCTAGACTCAGTTTTTATTGGAATTTAAGTAAGGAATGAATCTGAAAGCGAACATATTAATTACCGGGCCTGTATTTTCTCTTGGCCGCCCTGGTTGACGCAACTAAATTCTTTTCACCCTATTTTCTGGTGTGATAGTACTTATACAGTTAAATAAGTATATCATTGAGCAAGTATTTTGGAGCGCTATGCAACTCTTCAATCACTAATCCTAATTAAAATTTATATAGTTACAGGTTTGAAAAAGTAGACGACTTCGTATTATTTGGGAACCAGCAGTAACACCAATAATAATATCAGCTTTGAAATCCAATGGAGCATCACTCTTGCCATCAAGTGCTACTTTGGACTTAGTAGGCGATTGAGAAGTAAAGTCCTCTCTCGTCGTACAAAGATCACACTCTATAAGTCACTCATCATGCCTGTGCTGGTGTATGGCGTGGAGGCATGGACAATGAAAACATCCGATAAAGCGGCTCTTGGAGTTTTCGAGAGAAAGATTCTGCGAAAGATTTACGGACCTTTACGCGTTGGCGATGGCGAATACCGATTTACCGATTATCTTTTGCATATATTTATTTATTCATGGCCTTATTCTATAGAATTTATATACAATACATATGTATGTATGTATACACTTTTATATATGTATGTACATACATATATATGTGTTCTGCAATATTTTAAATAGAGGACAGACGAAAGAGCAGCTGTTCAATTTTACGAATGTTGTTGACTTTTCCGAAACTTGTACTAATTAAATAATACATACATTCACATACATGCATACATACGAGTAAAACTTCCGTTTTTTTTTATTATGCATTTAAGTACGTATGTATGTTTATGCAAATACTTGTCAAATAGTTAATAAACTTGAATATTTTGTGAAACCGCCAAAATAAATAATATCTTCGTGTTAGCGTTTTGTATTCGTTAAAGTGTGGGTGAGCATGTGTGTAAATTATAGTGGTCCATTTTTTCTATGGGGAAAAAAATTTTCATCCTAGAAAACGGTGCACCCCCTTAGTTTTTTCCTTTCGATATTTGTAATATTTATACCAACTTTCAATTTGTTACTGCAACCAACACAGGGTGCTCAATGGCCTTGAAATGCGCTACTGGATTGCTGTGAAACGGGCAAAAATATTGATGATTTTTATAAAAGGCTACCGTTGCTTTGACAACTAAAGCCTGTAATATTTTTTTAGATAATCTAAACTTGAAATGTTCTTAGGTTACTTAACCAATTGTTTGATTATTATATGTACACAATACTTCTAGAGTAAAATATGGGAATTCATGAGCATTAGCGTGGGGTGAAAATCCGTTTTTTTTTTTAGAATTTTGATTGATAATAGCAAAAATATGGTTCATTATGCTCTAAAAAAAATCTGTGTGAAATGTGAAAATTGTTGGTCAATATCCTAGGCTCGCCCAAGTCCATCAAAGTTCAAGTACTAAAAAAAATTGTTTCTTAGCTACCTTCGATTCTCTACAAGAAAGGTCTATATACCAAATTATGTAGGACTAATACTTTCGAAGATTATTGCCTTTTTAATAAAAAAAAAATAATTAATTAATTAATTACCTAATTTCCTTAACCTAAGTTGATTTTGAATTTTTAAACAGGTGACAACCCTTCTACATGTAGTTTGGAGAAAAAGCCATTTTAAATGCGTTTCGATTGATAGCTATTTATTTTTATTCATTTAAATTATTACATTGGGGCCGCTGTAGTTAAGTGATTCGAGGTACGTAGTACAACTCCGTAGGACGTTGGTTCTATCCCTGGCCCGAGCAATATGTATAGTAAATTATAATTATACAAAGTTTTTTATAACAGCGATCGCCCCTCGGCAGTCAGTGGCAAACCTCAGAGTGTATTTCTGCCTTGAATATTCAATACTTTAGGAATTAAAGAAACGGACGCTTTGTATTTTTACATTTTGGAATTCAGAATATAAATCTCCCTTAAACTGTAGGCCACCAATTTGCGTATTACATATTATAAATTTTTGGCTGAAAAATATCGAGCCTCTTATTGTATAATAACAGTTTGGATTGAATGCTCATTTTGACATTTATCGATATATTAATTTTTTCCATTGATTGAGCTAGTTAGCAAAACAATCACCCACAAATCGGAGAATAATTGGCAAATAGACCGCATTTATCGAACGAATTCTAAACGGCGGGTAGTCATAACACCGAAACAGGGTGGTGGGATTCTCACTGTTACCGCGGAAAGTAGCTGCCGATAATCTTCTCCGAAAACGTTGAGAACATTGGCGATAAAGTATCGGTCTGAGTTTACCAAGAAAACAAAAATACCACAATTCGGGCTTCCCTCCCTTAATAGAACGACTCTAACATTGTCTTCCAAGAGTCAGCCTGCTGAAGGGCGCTGCGGCACGGTCATAGTAATACTCTTGACAAGCTTAACGAATCAGGGAAACAATCAGATTGAGGTATATAATCAGACAGATTTCAGGAAA